ATAATCCTGAGCTGCACTTTCTTGCCTTTCCCCATAACCCTTGATACCTTTAGTGATTAAAAATCTGTTGATCTCACTGTTGAATACACTTAATGACACAAATCTGACAACCCTCTGCTGTCAGGAATTCCATGAATTCACCACCATCTGAGAGAATAAATGTTTCCTCATCTGTCTGAAATGTGCAACCCCCATTCCGATATTAGACACTCTGTTGCAAGATTGCCCAGAAGGAAAACCATTTTTTTTGTGTCCAACATATTAAATCTCAAAGAAATTTGTATGCTTCAATGAGGAGCAAGTATTGTTTTTGTAGTACTGTGTCTGAGCATGTGAAGTCAATGGATTTCATGACTTCCTCCTGTTTGGTTTCATCCCTGATGTAAAACTTTCACTGATACTGACAGAGCTATCCCCTTTTGTCTTTTAATGTCAGGAATTCGTGTTCATTTTAAGAGTTTCGACAGGAACAATAAAATCCTCATTCCTATTTCGGAATCAAACCGAGAACACAGCAGTTGCAATGCTGAATCCCAAAAAGGAAGGTGCGCACAATACTTGCAACTTTTTGTCTTGACACCGCTTTTGACCTTTTGTTTTAGTTGCAAAATATTAGTGAGATTTTAACACCACGGAGAAAGACCCTTCAGCCCATTATATCTATGCCAGTCATCAAATATCTCACTTCTCAACCCCGTTTCCAGCACTTGGCTCATCACCCTATTTGCTCTGATGTTTCAAGTGCTCATCCAAATAGGTAGTCAATGTTTGAGGTCATCAGTGGAACAAAAACACTTTCTTCAACAAACGACAGGAAAGCATTGCTGTTTGCTACAACATGAAATCTACATTTTCCTCTTTGAAGACAGCTATGAAAGCCAAACTCTTTCGCAGAGCTGTTTGCCAGTTTCCCCCACAATGCCAACAGTGTAGAATGAAATTCCACACCACCAGAGGTTACCACTAATGAGTCTCTACTTTCAACTTCTTTGCTGACATGAGATGTGGTGTGCCTCAGGTTAAACCACGACCAGTTTTGTCTCTCTCATAAGAAAGCAGCCCTCTGACCTCGAATGTGTATGGCTACTTCGTGTGGCTCAGTGTCAGACATTGCAAAAGGCACGTTTTATACTCTATTAAATGTATTATATATGTCAGTTGTCCTGGCAGGAAGTAAAGAGAAAGATTGCTTGTACACGACAAATAAAATTCAATCTTTACAATGGTGGGCACTTAACCCAGAATTCCGAGTGCTAGGCACTGCATTGCTTATCACTGCGCAGGCTCAGTATGTTCCCGCGGGCCCACAGGCTAAAGCATGCGCAGTGGGAGTGATCCTGAGAAGCAGTTGCTTTTTGCCTCGGCTCCACAAAAGGTAATAATGAGGCGGAACGGAGGAGGCTTTCTAAACACTTTGTGGATGCGACAGACCCCGCATAAAGAAACTATCTGTCCCCATTTCAGAAAACGGGACAAATTAAGGGTCCGTCTCCATGACAGGCAGTGGGTAACGGCCGTCATCTTTGTAGGAGACAAAGGTCAGCAGGGAGCATGTGCGGTCACCCTGGGCCAGGGGAGAGAATGTTGTGAATGTCTGTTCTGGACTGCCAGGGATGGAGTTTATAAGCTCCTTTAACAGGGAGCGAGGAAGGGAGGATTTACACACAGCAAACTCCAAAGCCAAGAAATATTTGCTTCTTCTGAAATTTTGTGCTGGACTGACTGAGATGGCTCTTGTAATTTTTTTTTACAGCATGTTAGAAGAGGATTTGCAGATCGGAAACTCAAACCAAATATGATACACCAAGATCTAAGTGAGCCACTTTATTCATTCGGTCCTGGATATTATTGGACTTTGAATGTAAGTATTGAGTAAAATAAAAGTAACATAAAGTTCCTTCCTTCTTTCTCCCAGTAACTATTGCCCAATATCTTAAATCTGTGTCTTTCACAGTTTTACTACCAATGAAGATCAGCTGCTCTTTATCTGCCTTATTTAAGCCTAGACACTTGAACAAATCTCATCTCAATCTCTTTTGCTCTGTGCAGAACAACTTTTTCAGTTTCTCCAACCCGACCTTACAACTAATATCGCTTCGTTGTTGAGCCTTTCTGATTCATCTCCTTTCAAGTCTCTCCTCAGACCCTCACATTCTTCGTGGAGATCACCTGTCTGTGCAGGCCCAAATGCTCTGTGTTCAAGTAGGTGATGATATCACACACAAGCAATTGCTCACTGACATCACCCTGATTCCTGGGTATTTCCTGAACTGTGAATTTACTCTGACCCCAGTGCTTCTGATATCTTTTGAGCGGCAGACTCTGGCATTTGATTTTAAAGTTGAACACAATGAAATTATTTCAATAGTTTAAACCAGTAATCTACACCATTAAGCTTCTCCTGCTGTTTTCAGTTATCTGACTCTGGAGCTAATGTGACTCATTTTGTCACCCCCTCGCTATGTGGCTGGTGTCAAAAGCTGCTTTATAACACCATCCATTGTGACCATCCATTGTTCTGGTTCACCTCTATTCTCCCTGATCAACTCTTGTCATTTTCTAACCTGCTCTGTCTTCAATAATGGATGTAACTATCTTAGGTATTGTATTGTTACTTCCATTGACTCTCTAAATGAGGTTTTTTACAGTTGAACATTGCCTGACCATTTGTTGCTGGTGATTACCTTCCCTTAGTAGCTCCCACAATGCTGTTTACGAAAGGTGTTATTCACCAAGTGATGACGAAGGAACTGTGATATATGTCCAAATCAATGGCAAATAATTTGTATCCCTTCACAAAAGGGAAACTTCCAAACTGTTCCTTGGTAATGTTATAATGCAACTTCTGACCCTAGACACACAATGAGATATTAAGGTGGTGACAACATGTTTTATGGTCAAATAAGTTGTTTTCAACCAGTATTTTAAGGTGCAAAACTGATGTCGAGAGAGAAGTTTAATGAGGACATTTCACAGTTTGTCACCTTGGCAGCTAAAGGCTGAGGGCACCGAATGTGGGACAGTTAAAATCGAGAATGCCTGCGTGCACCTCATACCATTGTAATTTCCTCTATTTAGATTTTGGCTCCAAATCTCAAAATCAACTCTGTCACTCTCCATGTTAATGAAGAGTTCTATCATTAAGAGGTCTTCACGTTTCCCCATGAGGCCTTTCACAGCTAGATTGCCAATTAATCCACTCTTATTACACAATTAAAATTTGGAAATAAAGTTACCATAGTATCTGAAGACTGGAGGACTGTTCTCTCACTTCAGAGAGAGACAGATGACAAATGGTGCTTTAACCCCGGGGTTACCACACCTCAGGCAATGGGCAAGGTTAAGAAGGTGGGACTTTCATGGTGACCTCAGCTGTTAGAGGAATTGAGCACGTGCTGCTGGAGTCAATTTGCATCACAAATCAGCTGTTCAGCTAACTGAGCTAACCCACCCCTGACCATTACACAATACACCATTGAGGATGGCCTATCCTCTCTTTGGTCACTCAATATATAGATGTAGAAAACCATCTCGTGCACACTCCAGGAATTTCTCTGCTATGGTATTGTTACTGATTTGATTTTCTCAACCTATATGCAGATAGAAGGCACCCATAATAACCATGAGCACAAGATATAGGAGCAGAATTAGGCTATTTGGCTCATTAAGATTGCTCCACAATTTGATTGTGACTGATATGTTTCTCAATCCCATTCTCCTGCCTTCTCCCGCAACCGTTGATCCCCTTATCAATCAAGATAATTATATATCTATCTCTGTTATGAATACACTCAATGACTTGGCCTCTACAGCCTTCTATGACAATGAGTTCCACAGAATCACCACCTTTGGGCTGAAGAATTTCCTCCTCATTTCCATTCTAAAGGGTCATCCCTTCACTCAGAAGCTGTGCCCTCAGGTTCTAGTCTCTCCTGCAAGTTGAAACATCTCCATGTCTAACTATCCAGGCATTTCAGTATTCTAAGTTTCAATCGCGTAGCGTCATAGAGTCTGACAGCACAGAAGCAGACCCGTCGATCTAACCAGTCCATGCTGACCATGTTCCAAAACTAATGTAGTCCCATCTGCCTGCACATGGCCCATGTCTCTCCGAACATTTCTTATTTATGTATTATCTAAACGTCTTTTAAACATTGTAAACTCTACTTGTATCCACCAATTCCTCTGGAAGTTCATTCCAATCACGAACCACACTCGTGGTGGGGAGGGGTGGGGAATAGTTGCCCCTCATGCTTTTTCTCAATCTTTCACCTCTCACCTTAAAAATGTGACCCTGGTCTTGAAATCCCCCACCCTCGGGAAAAGACACTTGCTATTCACCTTATCTGTACTCCTCAAGGACAGGACTTAAACAGTTCATGGTAGGACCCTGGGTAGTGTTGTATCTAGGTACCTTTGTACCTAACATGGTGTCATAAGTGGCAACTTGTAAACTTTTCACTGTACTCACGTGAGTATATGCGACAATAAGACTAATCCAGTTGATTAAAAATATGCCCCCCCAGTCTTGAAATCCCCACCCCAGAGAAAGGACACCTGCCAATCAACTTTTTGTTACCCCTCAGGATTTCACAACCCACTTTCAGGTCAACCTCAATGTGCTACACCGCTGTGAAAGGAGTCCCAGTCCCCCATTATGACTCAATCCCTCTGTTCTCAGCAACGTCCTGGTAAATCTCTTCTGAACTCTGTCCAGCTTAATAATATCCTTGCTATCACAGGCAGACCAGAACTGGACACAGTACTTCAGAAGAGGCCTCACCAACGTCCTGTACAACCTCAACATGACGTCCCAACTTCTGTACACAACGGTCTGAGCAATGAAGGTAAGCGTACGAAACACCTTCTCAACCACTCTGTCTACATGTGATGCAAATTTAGAAGAATTAGGTAACTGAAACCTGAAGTCTCTCTGTTCTACAATACCCAAGGCTCTATTTTAATTTGTAAGTGGATTTCCTCTGGGTGTTCCTCCCACATTCCAAAGATTTGCAGATTGGGTGGATTGGTCATGCTAAATTGCGCATAACATCAGGGATGTGTAGATCAGGTGAATTATAGAGGTATGGTTCTGGCTGGGATGCTCCGAGGGTCGGTGTGGACTTGTTGGGCCGAAGGGCCTGTTTCCGCACTGTAGGGATTCTATGATTTTATGATTTTCTGTGAAGTCCTGCCTCCCTTGTTTTTTTTTAACCACTATGCAGTACCTCGCATTTATTCAAATTAAACTCCATCTGCCAGTCCTCAGCACATCAACCCAAATGATCAAGATCTCTTTGAAATCTTAACCTTTTTCACTGTCCACTCTCGCATTAAATTGGAGTCATCTGCAAAGTTACTAACAATGCCTTCTGTATTCTCATCTAAATCATTTATATAAATGTCAAACAAAAGAGAACCCAACACCGATCCCTGCAGAACACCACTGGTCAGCGCTAAACACGAGGCCTTCAGTCCGAAAAACAACTTTCCACTTCCACACCTATCTCCTGACGTTAAGCAAATTTTGTATCAATTGGCAAGCTCACCCTGGATCCCGTGTAAGCTAGCTTTACTAATTAGTCCACCACTTGGAATCTTGTCAAAGGCTTTACTATAGTCCAAGTAAACAATGTTTACTGCTCTGCCCTCATCAATCATCTTGGTTACTTCATCAAAAATCTCAATCAAATTTGTGAGACATGATTTCTCTCGCAGACAACCATGCTGATTATCCATAATCATTCCTTGCCTCTCCAAATGCAATCGTTCAGGATCACCTCCAACAAGTTATCCACCACCAAAGTCAGACTCTCAGAACAGGAGTTCCCATGCTTCTTACATCATTCAAATGAAGGCACAACATGAGCCCCTCTGCAATCATCTGGCACCTCACCTGTAGTTATAGATGATAGAATATTTCTGCAAGTGACCCCACATTTTCTCTCTTAACTTTCCATATGATGGGATGCACTAGAGCAGGTTGCAAGATTTAGAGACATAGAGTAATACAGTGTGGAAACAGGCCCTTTGGTCCATGCTGACTGTGGTGTCCACTCAGCTAGTTCCAATTGCTGGATTTGGTCCATGTCCGTCTAAACCCTTGCCATCCATGTACCTATCCAATTATTTTTTAATTGTTGCTATTGAACCTGCCTCAACTACTTTCTCTGGCAGCCCATTCCATATATGCACCACTTTCTGCATGAAGAAGTTGCCCCTCAGGTCCTTAAATCTTTCCCCTCTCAATTTAAACCTATGATCTCGAGTTTTTAATTCCCCATCCCTGGTATAAAGACTACATGCATTCATCCGATCTATACCCCTCATGATTTTATACACCTCAATAAAATCACCCTGTCATTCTCCTATGTTCCAAGGAATAAAGTCCCATCCTGACTAACCTGTCCCTACAAGTCGGGCCTGGCAACATCCTAGTAAACCTTCTTTGCACAATTTCCAGTTTAACTGTCTTTCGTATAACAGGGTGACCAAAACTGTATATAGTATTCCAGTACGGCCTCACCAATGACTTATACAGCTGTAACAGAACATCCCAGCTTCTATACTCAATGCTTCAACCCATGAAGGCTAACATGTTAAATGCCTTCTTCACCACCCTTGTCTACCTGTGACGCTGTTTTCCATGAAGTATGTACTAGTACTCCTGGGTCCCTCTGTTTCACAACAGTCCTCAGGACCTTACCATTTACTGTGAATTGCATTTGCCAATCCTCAGCCCACTTCCCCATTTGATCAAGATCTCTCTGTAAATTTTAATCGCCTTCCTTGCTATCAACACTACCTTCTAATTTTATATCACCCACAAACTTTGTGATCATGCCTTGTATATTCACATCCAGATCATTTACGCAAATAATAAATAACAAAAGTCCCAGCACTGACACATCTGGCACACCACTAGTAACAGGCCTCCAGTCTGAGAAACAGCCTTCAACCATCACCCTCTGCTTCCTATCATTGAGCCAATTTTGAATCAAATTAGCGAGCTATCCCTGGTTCCCATGACTAGCCTGTCGTGCGGGACCTTGTCAAAGGTGTACTAAAGTCCACACAGACAACACCCACTGCCCTACCCTCCTCTATTCTCTTGGTTACCTCTTAGAAAAACTGTAAAAAAAATTTGTCAGACGTGACTTCCCGCGCACAAATCCATACTGACTATCCCTAATCAGACCTTGGCTATCCAAATCTTGGTTGATCCTGTCCCTCAGTATCCTCTCCAATAACTTGCCTACCACTGCTGTCAGGCTCATTGGCCTGTAATTCCCTGGCTTTTCTTTGCTACCTTTCTTAAACAATGGAACAATGTCAGCCACCCTTCAGTCTTCCACAACTTCTCCAGTGGCTAAAGATGAAGCAAAAATCTCTGCAAGGACCTCTGCAATTTCCTCCCTAGCCTCCCGCAATGTCCGAGGATGGATTTGATGAGGCCAGGGGATTTATCCACGTTAGTGTGCTTTAAGGCAGTCCAAACCATCTGCATTTGTTTCGCTTATTTCCACAGCATCCATGAATCTCTCCTCAGTAAACGTTGAGGAGAAATATTCATTAAAAGTCCCCCCCAGTCTTCTCTGACTCCTGCGAACTTGTTTTCAAAACACAATATTTCTTTCCCTGAAATCTCCAGCCTCCATTTCTTTCTCCACAGTTATAACTAATACAAAATATTCCTTTGATGTCTCCCTCATCTCCTGAAGTTCAATACAAACCTGACCTCTTTCATCTTTACAAGGCCCTCCTTGGTGAACAAGCAAATGGGTGTTGGGCCATGAGAAAGGAATAATTGATCATCAAGTTGAGTGTGGGCCCTTAAAGAAAAGTGACCACAATAGATTGAATTCTTCATAAAGATGGAGAGTGATATTGTTGTTTCCGACTCTCGGTTCCTGTAAATAAATGAAAGAAGTTATAATGGTATGATGCATGAGTTACTTGTGATAAATTGTGGATCAGTATTTCAGTGGATGATGGGAGATGGATAATGGCAAACATTTAAAGAGGAAGTGGACAAGCTATGAAAGTTATTCATCTCAGTCTGGCATAAGAACAAAATGGGAAACATGGTCAAACCAAGGCAGAGAAAGGGAAATGAATGGGTATTAAATTTAAGGAAACAGCATTCAAGTTAGGTAAACAAAACAACAGACCTGAGGATTGGGAAAAGTTTAGATGTCAACAAAGGGAGACAAAGGGATTTAATAAAAGGGAGAAAATAGAATATGAGAGTGCTCTTGCAGGGAATATACAAACTAATAGCATTTTTCTTTATTCATTCACAGGATGTGGGCATTGCTGGCTAGGCCAGAATTTATTGCCCACCCCTGATTGTCCAGAGGGCTGTCAAGAGTTAACTGCATTGCTGTGGGACTGGAGTCACTTATAGGCCAAACCGAGTAAGGATGACAGTTTCTTCCTCTGAAGGATATTAGTGAGCCAGATGGGTTTTTCCTGACAATCAAAAACAGTTTCCTGATCATCATTAAACTCTTAATTGAACATTGATAGCAAAAGATTAGTCAAGAAGAAATTAGGAACTCCTTACAATCAGAAACATGGAAATTATAATGGTGTACAAAATGATGGCAGACCAATTACGTATGTCTTAGATTTTCAAAAAAGAGGACACAAATAATGACCCAAAATTAAGGGGTTCCCAGGGTCTAACGGGAAGATAGAATTGAAAGAAATTACTATTAGTAGGAAAATGATATTGGGAAAGCTCATGGGACAACCGGCAGATAAATCCCCAGTGATTGATAACCTTTGTCTCAGAGTAACTTCGGAAGTAGCCCGAGAAATGGCAAATGCGTTAATGGTTATCATCAAATGCTATTGATTCTCCGAGTTCCTATGGATTGGAGAGTACTTAACGTTGCCCAAATATTTAAGAAGGGAATCAGAGTGAAAATAGGGTTTTTTCAAAGCATTGATGGTGGGAAAAAGTCCACTGTAAAAGTTGGGATAACAGAGTACTTGGAAGATAGTGACAAGATCAGACAGAGTCGGCAGAACCTTTGTCTGTGAGATCTCTAAGATTCTCTGTTGGGCATGAATTCCCTCCACGCTACTGTCCATCCTGACTTGGAAAAGTATTGCTATTCCTTGAGAGTTACTGGGCCAAAATCCTGAATTCCCTCCCTAACAGCATTGCAGGTCCAACTCATGGACTGTAGTGGTTCACAAAGGCAGATCACTACCATCTTCTCAATGGCAACTCGGCTCAGCAAAGCCCACAGAAATTTAAGAAAAGCATTATCAAGGCCAACTGGGGACATGGAATTGAAGCCTAAATAGATCAGCTTTGACCCTTTTGAGGCTAACTGGGCAGAATTAACTACTCTGACCCCTATTTTCTATGCTCTCTACTCTTTCAATCGAAATGCATCTCAGCAGGAATGGTGCATTCCCTGCAACTTAGAAGGATGAGGGCTAATTTGATTAAAATTTTCCAGATGTTTATTGAACCTGGCGGGGTGATAGAAAGTAACTCATCCAGGTGTGGGTGAAGTGAGAACGCAAACACCCTCCTTGCCTGCAGTAATCAGACAAGACTTGAATTTCTTTATCCTCCAGTTTATTCGAACATACAAATGAGGAACAAGAGTAGGCCACTTAGCCCTTCGAGCCTACTCTGCAACTGAATAACATCACAGCTGATATGATTTCAAACTCTGTTCCATGTGCCTGCATATCCCTGAACATTTCATCATCTTGGTCATCAGAATCTGTCTGCTTCTGCATTTAAAATTAATTTAAAGATTCTGCATCCA